CCTTGGCTATATTTGTTACAGGATTTCATTTTCCTTTTTTCTCAAGGATAGGGGAAAGGAGTTGAGGAGATAAGAAGAAAAAATAAATAAATATTTGGCTATTAAAAAACAAAGAAATGGCATGTTTAAAAGAGGACAGATATTCCCTTACCTGTGCAATACAAACATGAATGTATATAACATATCACAAAACACTGAATTTCACCCAACAAAAAAACCAATCTTGCCTCACCAAAGCATCCCTCATGATCAACAAGTATCTTAGTTTGCTTGAATAAAGAGAACAATTTTATATGTCATAATCTTCTTGTTAAAAAAAACACTTGATTTCAAAGGATACAGAATGCTATTGTCATCAAAAAGAAAGTAAAATTAAAAAATATTTAATTGGCCTTAGTTTTTGAGAATTCAAAGCTGAGAAAATTATTAATGGGAAGTTACTAACTGGTATATACAAGGGTAACATTGAAGGGTTAAAGCTCTCAATTCAACATTAATAGCCCACCAACTTCATTCAGCACTGGATATTCCTTCTAAGATATGGGACATTCAGGGAGAAATAACACCTCTGTTGTGAGGGATTGCTGAGCCCTTTCCAGGGCTGCTTTCCACTTTTGGTGTCCATCTGGTACTCAACTCTCACCTGTGACTCAAAGAAGCTGTAGCATGCACAGCAGCCACATCTTGGTAAAATTGCCTAGGCAGATGGGCTAAAGTAGGTTGAGGGTAACTGGCAGGCCTCAACCTGTAGATAAGTTAGGGGAGGGAGGGATCCCACCTAAGCATATGAAGATGCCCCCAGCAGAATGGGCAGATGAGAACAATGTTCCAACAGCCATGAAGGCAGCTGAAGCAGGTGCTGTGGAGCACTTAGAACTTGGGCAGATATCAAAAATTCCAAGGTCATCTACTGCATCCTGGGTCGTTGCCAGACATCCAGACTTTTGTCTTGACACTGGACTTCAATGACTCTGGAAGAGAGTGAGGCTGACAACTTTGTACAACTCTGTCTCACTTCAATCCAATTCATGCATGAGCCAAGACATCACCCTTTAATGTCATTTATCTTCTTCAGAACAAAGGACAAGTAACTTCTCCAACCTTCAGTTTGAAAGGTATGAAGAAATTACTATTAAGTTTGTTTAAAAATTGCTATGTTCAGGTGTTTTGATCAGGAATAAAAGACTAGGTACCTTTAAGAACTATCCCTGGAAAGAAGCTGCAAAAGATTAGTAAGGGCCAAGTAATAAAATTGAGATAAGATCCTTGACTGAATAAACACTAATAAGGTTTCTCACCAGAAGGGAAAGTTAGAGCAAGGATTACTCCTTTAAAAGGAAGGCGTTAAGAAATCAATTAAAGGCATGATAAGTAAATAGGAACAAGACTGAACAAACTAAGTGCAACTGAGAAGTCCAGAGGCAGCCCCATAGGTGAGAAAAGGTTTGATTAAACTCTGATGACATAAAGTTCAATGAAAAGAGAACTTATACATAGGTGGTATTTTGAACTTGGCTCTGACTTGCATATCACGTTTTTAAGAGAAATTAGAATCAAAATACTAATTGCTAATTTAAGTAAAATTTTTGTAGATAAGGAACACAAGAGGATCATGTGCCATGTACCTGCAACTCAGTTATCCATATTTGTGCAAAACCAAATCTCTGAATTTTGAATACTTCAATTGATCTGTGACCCCATCAATAAAGATATTACGTCCAATGATGGTAAATCATTCCTCCCCTCTTATCCTGTGCAACCAGTTTCTCTACATTTACCCCAAATGCTGGAAGCCTTCCTGTAGTTCTCTTAACACTGTGTGGGGTATCAATAGAGCATTGTGGTTCATTAGTTATCCCTTACTCTCAATCATTTCACATCATAAATTTCTCTGACACCTTTTCCATTTGCTGAACCCTCAAACCAATATATAAGCTGTGAATAGTAAATACTGTATGTCCTCAAAGGTATTTGTGCTGTTTTGGTGTGTTGGAAAGGGCACTAAAGAACTGAGAGTTAGTAGACCTGGGCTCTTCTAGTCGTGATTCTACTGTTTAACTTCTCTAGGACTTAATTTCCTTACCTTTACCTTGTAAAATGAGAAGACTGAGCTAGATGATTTCTAAAGTCCTTCCACATCTTATGTCTATGGCCTGGTGCAACTACTAACAAGGTACGGTGCCTAAGAAAAATTATTTGCAGTAATCTTATCAACTCCCATTGAGTCAATTGTCATCTCTATGCAGATGATTCCCAATTCTACATATACAGCCCCCATCTCTCCTCTAAGTTCCAGTCCCACATCTCCATCTACCTACTGGAGATTTTTATCTGAATTCTCACCGGCATCTCAATCTCAACATGTCCAAAACTGATTATCTTTCCTCTTAACTTCCCTAATTCTGTCAAGGGCACCACCATTCTTCCATTCACCCAGGTTCCCAACCTAGGAGTCATCCTCAACTCTTCACTCTCCTCTCTTTCTCCCCTCCCTCCCCCCATCCAATCGTCAGTTCTTGTTCTTCCTCCTTAGTTCTGCCTCTAGGAACTCCCCCACTTCCTTTCAAGACTCAACTCAACTGTTCCTTCCTTCAAGTGGCCCCTCCTAATTCCCCCAGTTAATTCCTTCCAAACCCAACATTTTGCATCTATGTTGTATTTACTTATCTATAAATATGGTTGTAACCTCACACCCAGTGAATGTAATTCCTTGAAGTAACTCATTTTTGTATTTATATTTCCCCCACCTGGCACACATTAGACATATATTAAATGCAGGCAAGTTGACATCTAAAGCTCCTTTACCGGCAGGAATTGTGTTTCAGAGGAGTAGCAGCACACACATAACAGAAAATGTTCACTCCCTGTGTAGGCAATATATTTTAAATGTCTAGAATTTACAAAACACGTTTAGAACAGTTAACAAGAATATGCTGCCAGCATCTCCTCCTGAAGTAAATTTCATGAAAACTTCAGAATGTGCAATTTAATAGCACTAAAGCACAAACAGTAGTGTTTACTACTATCATTGCTTTTGCCTCTCTTTGTATCCCAAGATCTATTGTTTTTTGCCTTTCTTTGTATTCCTAATGCTTAGCACAGCAGCTGGGCATATAGTATGTGCTTACTGAAATAAATGCTCACCAACTGAGGAACTACTCTGATCTTTTGAAATATATCAGTATTATCTCAAGTACACTATACTCTAAATGCCAATTCCACCTATGGGTACTAAGAATTGTCTCAGAACTCATAAAAGGTCAAGTTTTAATTTGGCAGACAAAGTAACCCAACAGGCAGTGCAACCCAATGCAAGTCAAACAACAGCCTGGAACTTGAGACCCCTAAACCCAACTAAGAAACAGAACAGGTAGAAGAACCCCCATCTTCACAATCGACAACCAGTAAAAAACATATAACTTTTCTATCATAAATGTCATGATAAAACTGAAAGGACACAGGTCTTTAAGTAAAAGTAGCTATGTCTTCCAACAACATGAAACTAGCACAGCACATGCTGGAAGGAAAGACCAGATCATTCTAAGAATCTAAAGAAACAAACTCCTTAGATACAGCTTTAAAATAATCATTTAAAAGTGTCATGATGCAGACAGGAAAACAGTGTATCCCATAGTAGTCTGTTTTGAAAGGTCACACTGAGGAGCTGACATGGTTGGAATGACCCTGCATGTGTAAAGTCCATATGTCCTCCTTATTCTGGAGTGGTGATTCTGCACTGCTCACCCTAAATAAAGGGTAGCCAACTGAGCAGCTAATGAAATCCTAGCTCTTGTTTCTTACCAACCTCCCAAGTATTGAATTCGAGGTCTTCCAAGATAACCCAAAACTGCACTCAGCTATTCATTTGACCCTTGTGCTTTTGTCCCACAAACTCGTAGTTTAAGGTCCAAATGTCCAGACAAAGAAGTAAAGGAGCAAAGAAGATTAGCAGGCTGAAACTAAGTTATGAATTATAAAGCTCACTGCCACTTTATTGTTCACCCTTAAATATGTTTCTTGTCTCCCCAAAGAGACTACTGGCCCTTCAAGAGGCCTTTACAATGCCTACCTAGCACTGTGTGTCCTATACCTGCAGTAGGCACTCAATAAATATTTGTTAATGATCATGCCAGAGGGCCTGATTCCAAGGCCAGACTAAGGAACTTAACAATGAGGCATACACCTGATCTCAAACCCCACAGCTATTTTCCTTTTAGGGGCTCAGAACTCTGGGTCGCTTTAACTGCTAGTCTCTTGTTTTCTCCCAAGATTCGATGACCAATAATCACTTCCCTCTTCCAGGGCCTGCCTCCTTCACCTGCCCTCTGCCAGGACCTGCCCCATTCACCCCTTCAGCAACTCGCTGCAGACTGTCTTCTTTCGAAGCTGCTTCTTCCAGGCAACAGCACGCCGGCTCATCACCGCTCTCCGGAACGAATGCGCCATGGAGTCCCCGGCGCCGCCGCGTTCTCGGGTGGCAAAGAGCAGCAGCAAACCTGGCACGGGGCGGGCCGGAGACAGAGAGGGTGGGAAAGGAGGGGACCCTCCCCTTTCCCAAGGCTGAGCATATATTGCAGTTTGCCCTGGGATCGCTCCCCCTCCAGCCTCATAGTCAGCCCCGGTCAGCGACTCGGCAGCTGCACCGGGCACCCGAGGTCCTGCCTTTCTGGCATGGCATACCGCCGTTAGCACCGGCCCGGTCCCGGCCCCGCACGCTCTCCAGGGGCACTGCCGGGCACCCCTCCCCCTCGGGCCCCGATGCAGACCCGGGGTCCCCCGCACTAACAGCAGCCCCTCTCCCGCGCGGCGCTGAGCCCGCCCGCTAGGGGCCGGTCCAGGCGGGCTCCAGGGTCCGCCAGCTCCCCGATCGGAGCTCGCGCCCGTAGGCACCCCAGCAGGCTGCAAAGCTACCGGGCTGTCTTCCCTCAGGGACACAGCAGGCTGCCTTCACCCCACTCCCTCGGCCTCCTCCTCCGCCGCCGCCCCCCAGTAGTACTCACTTCCCGGGGGTTGGGGGGGGTCTCCGGCGGCGGCGGCAATTGGAGCCTACTCCTCCTCCTCCTCCTCCTCTTCTTCCTCCTCCTCTGTCCGCTGCCCGCGGCGGCGGCGGCGGCGGCGGCAGCAGCAGCAGCGCCCGCTCAGGCCCCGGAGCCGCCCCCGCGCCTGAACGTGAGCAGCCGCCCGGCTCGCGCCGCTTTCCCTAGCCCAGAGCGCGCACCCGAGCTGAAACGGAGGGGGAAGGGGGAAAGGGTATTGGGGGGATGGAAGCGCGCAGCAGGGAGGGCGGGGGTGACGACGGCGCGCGGCTCACCGCCTCGCCCGCGCGAGAACAGGCACGGGGCGGGGGCGGGGCCTTGCGCACGGAGCTTGACAACGGTTCGTACGAGCCCTTCCCCCCTCAGTCCCTGCGGAGCTCGGTCGGCTGCGGGACGTCCTGGGGGTCCGGGATCTGAGGGGCCCCGGAGAAGTCTCTCCTCAGGCGATTCTCCAGGCCCTTAGGACAAAAAATACCACCTGGAAGCGGGGCATCCTTGAGGATACCAGCCCCTTGCCAGTGGGAGCTCAAGAGTGCCTGCCCCAAAGGTGGGAAGGAGAATGTCACCCCGTGAGGAGGCTTATTTCTACCTGTTCTGGTCGCGGCGGAGGCGGGGAGGTCTGGTGGATGGAGCAGAAGATTTGCGTTCACTGTGCGCCGCGCCCCTCACTTAACCACGAGAATCCTCAGCTTCCTTATCTGTGAAGGAGGTGGTGAGGAGCTCATGAGATAAAGAATTTTGTGAAGCCAACGTGCTATTATGTAAATGTCATTACCGTTGAAAGGGTGGTACATCCCTGTGCCTGAGGCCACTTTTATCTTTACATAGACTAGAAGATGTGACTTTTTCGGATAATTGAAGCTTAATTCCTTTAAAACACACTAAGTGATGGTTATTATGTTATAATAATATAACATTATTTATGTTATATTATAATCATATTAATGAGACGATGTAGCCCAGCCTTCAAGCCGTGGGACACCCGCATTCGAGTGGATTTATATCCCAGGGCAAGTCACTTAATTTCTTAGTGTACTAGGCAGCTCTCTTAAAAGAGATTGTGAATTGCAGAGAAGATACTCAGCTGAATCGATAGGAGTTTTCTCACCCGGGGAGTTCCCTTTTACCCGTGAAATCACAGGTCTAGTCTGCATACCTATATACTTTTATATTCACGAAACTTCCATCACTTTTATGCTCCAGCTAGAGCATGCCCCTTTAGACTATGAATAAAACCGAGCTGAGCTCTCCTGACCACTTTTAGTGGGTTGCTTATGCTCTGGTTTAGCATGGGAGAAATCTGGATTCATGGATATATAACAATACTTTGGTTCCAATGGTGGCAGCAAGGGAAGAGGTATGCTTCGAAAGAGAATTGGCCACTGAGCCAGAAAGAGCCATCCCCTCAGTAATCCTTAAAAAGAGTGACTGCCCTCTGGAGCACTGCTTTTCCAGTTTGCCAAGAATGGCATGTTCTGAGGCTTTCTCTTCTCATTAGAGAAAGAGGGGCACATTCCTCCCCCAACTTATCAGAATCTCTTCCCTCATTGAAGCTAGAGCATGTCTAAGGGTGCCTGGGTGGGAATCTCAAGGCCTTGGCTGCCTCTTGCTTTTTGTTTCCTTCCCTTAGCATAAGTGACCAAATAGCAATCCTGAAATAGACATTTCCAGGCTTGGAGGCATCCTCAGGAGTCTGACAGGTCAAGAGATCTTGGATCTCATAGTTGAAGCTGATGACAAACAGGAGTTTTCTGTAATTACTCCTTTCTCAGAGAAGGTGACCACCAACAGGAGGAAAAACTGAAGCCCTGGCTTGTTTTGCAAGAGAATTGTACCTTTAAGAAGCTCTTCAAAGAGGGCAGAGCCAAGGTGAAGATTAAATGATTGTTTAGCAGTTCCACAAAATGTTTCATGTTTTAATTTTTTAAGTTCCAACCTCCTGAGAGGGTAGAATGGGAGTTATGAGTTACTGTATCATATTTTCATGAGTTATGGTAACATTTTAAATCTTTGACAGTATACATTTATGAGTTTTGTATTTTGAGCATTTCTTTTGTGGAGAGGAAATAAATGGCTGTCCTCTAACGAAGCTACATTGTACATTTAGCAACTGTCCGATCCCTTTTGGGGAGATTGTACACATGAACTAAGCCTAAGCTTTAATTGATTTTCCCAAAGTTTCTGGCATAGGGACATAACAAGCAAAAGACTACACCTTTAAAAGAGCCAGATTCCTTTCTTCCGAGTCCAGGTTCCCCCAAGATAGAATTTTGTGGACACTTTAAGTGATCTACTTGCTGTCCAGGGGACTCTCAAAAGTCTTGTCAATTCTATTGTGCTTAGCTTTCCTTATAGTCCAACTCTCACAACCATACAGTGCTATTGTAATAACCATAGCTTTGATTATATGGACCTTTGTTGGCAAGATGATATCTCTGCTTTTTAGTAAGCTGTCCAGATTTGCCATTGCCTTTCTTCCAATGAGCAAGCATCTTTTAATTTCATAACTGCAGTTGCTGTCTGCAGTGATCTTTGAGCCCAAGAATATAAAATCTGACACTGCTTTTGTTTCTTTTCCCTCTGTTTGCCAGAAATGATAGGAACAGTTGCCAAGATCTTGGGGATATTTTATGTTGTTTCAAGCCAGCTTTTATACTCTCCTCTTTCACCCTCATCAGTAGTCTTCTTCATTCTTCTTCATTTTCTGCCATCAGAGTAGTATCATCTACATATCTGAGATTGTTGCTGTTTCTCTTGGTAACCTTAATTCTGGTTTTTGATTCATCCAGCCTGGCATTTCACATGATATGTACTCTGCTTATAAGTCAACAATGGTGTAAGGTAACAATGTACAGCATTTTTGTACGCTTTCCCAATCTTAAACCATTCTGTTGTTCCATGTTTGGTTCAAACTGTTGCTTCTTGGCCTGCATACAGGTTCCTCAGGAGACAAGTAAGATGATGTGGTATTCCCATCTCTTTGAGGACTTCACACATTTTGTGGTGAGCTATACTCTCAATCAAAGGCTTTAGTGTAGTCAATGAAGCAGAAGTAGATGTGTTTTTTTTCTGGAATTCCCTTGTTTTCTCCATAATCCAGTGAGTGTTGGCAATTTGGTCTCTAGTTCTCTTGCCTCTTGGAAAACCAGCCTGCACTTCTGGTAATTCTCAGTTCACATATTGCTGAATCCTAGCTTTCAGAATCTTAAGTATAACCTTGCTGATGTGTTAAATGAATGCAATTGTTTGGTAATTTGAACATTCCTTGGCATGGTCCTTCTTTAGGACTGGGATATAAACTGATTTTTTTTCAATCCAGTGGCCACTGTTGAGTTTCCCAAATTTGCTGGCATATTGAGTGAAACACATCTTTTAGGATTTTAAATAGCCCAGCTGGAACTCAGTCATTTCCACTAAAGCCTTATTGTTTGCAGTGCTTCGTAAGGCCCACTTGACTTAATTCTACAGGATGTATGGCTCTAGATTAGTAACTGTTGTGGTTATCAGTGATGTTAAAATCTTTTTTGTAAAATTCTTCCACATATTCTTGCCACCTCTTTTTAAGTTCTTCTGCTTCTGTTAAGTCCCTACCATTTTTGTTTTTTATGATGCCCATTTTTGCATGAACATTCCCTTGATATCTCTAATTTTCTTGAAGAGATCTTTTGTCTTTTCCATGCTATTGTCTTCTATTTCTTTAAGAAAACCTTCTTATCTCTCCTTGCTATTCTCTGGAATTCTGCGTTCATACAGTTGAGTATATCTTTCCCTTTCTCCTTTACCTTTCACTTTCCTTCTTTCCTCAGCTATTTGTAAAGTCTTAATCAGACAGCCATTTTACTTTCTTGGTCTTTTTTTTCTTTGGAATGTTTTTTGTTGCTGCTTCCTATACCATATTCAAACCTGTCTATAGTTCTTCAGGCACTCTACCAGATCTAATCCCTTAAATCTATTCATCACCTCTACTTCATAAGGGATGTTATTTAGGTCATACATATGTAGTCTGATTTTCCCTACTTTCAATTTAAGTCTGAATTTTGTAGTAAGAAGCTCATGATCTGAGCCACAGTCAGCTCCAGGTCTTCTTTTCACTGACCATAGAGAGCTTTTCCACTTTGGACTGCAAAGTATATAATCAAATTGATTTACATATTGACCATTTGGTGGTGTTCTTGTGTTGTTCTTGTGTAGAGTTGCCTTTTGGGTTGTTGAAAAAGAGTATTTGCTATAACCTGTGAGTTAGTTATCTTGACAAAACTCTATTAGTCTTTGCCCCATGTCATTTTGTACTCCAATGCCAAGCTTGCCTGTTATTCCAATTATCTTTTGATTTCTTACTTTAGCATTCCAATCCCCTATGATGAATGCAACATTTTTTGATGTTATTTCTAGAAGATATTGTAGGTCTTCATAGAACTGAGCAACTTAGGTCTCTTCAGAGGTTGGAGCCTAAACTTGTATTCCTGTGATGTTGAATGGTTTGCCTTGGATTCAAACAGATAGCATTGTCATTTTTTAGATTATACCTCAGTACTGCTTTTCTCTTTTATTCAGTATGAGAGTTTCTCCCTTTGTTCTAATGGATTCTTGCCCACGGTAGTATATGTAATGATTACCTGAACTAAATTCTCCCATTCCTATCCATTTAAGTTCACTGACACCTAAGATGTTGATGTTTAATCTTTCCATCTCCTGTTTGACCACATCCTGCTCACCTTGGATCATAGATCTTATATTCCAAGTTGCTATGCAATACTGATCTTTACAGCATCAGACTTTCCTTTCATCACCAGACACATCCACAGCTGAGCTTCCTTACAGCTTTGGCCCAGCTGCTTCTTTCTTTCTGGAGCTACTTGTAATTGTACTACTCTCTTCCCCAGTAACATGTTGGACACCTTTTGACCTGAAGGGCTTATCTTCCAGCGTCATAATCTCTTTTATCATTTTCATATTGTCCATGGGGTTTTCTTGGCAAAGATACTGGAGTGGTTTGCTGTTTCATTCTCCAGTGTATCACCTTTTGTCAGAACTCTTCACTATGACCTGTCCATCTTGGATAATACTGCATGGCATAGCTCATAGTGTCATTGAATTAAGCAAACCCCTCCACTCCGACAAGGCAGTGATCCAGGAGGAGAAATGCACATCTATTAAGCATTTAATAGTATTAAATGTGCCAGGCACCATGCTAAGCACTGGAAATACAAAGAAAGGCAACAAACAACACAGCCCTACCTCTAAAGGATCCCGTTGCTGATGGGAGAAACAACATTTAAATAACTATATACATACATGATATATAGAGTATAAATAGAAAATAATCTCTCAAAGGGAAGGGACTAGTAATAGAGAAATAGGAAAGACCTCCTGTAGAAAGGGAGACTTGAGCTGAGTTTTCAAGTCAGAAGACCTAGGAATTGGAGGTGAGGAGGGAAAGTATTCTAGACATTTCCAATGAAAACTTCATGAAGTCAGGAGAGCAGCAAAAGCATGTGAGGGATCAGCAAGTAGGCTAGTCTAACTAGAAGAGGGTGCAAAGAGGGAAGGGAAGTGTAAGAAGACTGGAAAGGTAGAAAAGGTCTTCCTACTTTTGTTGTGAAGGACATTAAATGCCCACAGAGGATTTTACATTTGATCCTGGAAATAAAAGGGAGGCACACGAGTTTATTGAGTATAGGGATGACAAACCTGTGTTTTAGGAAAATCACTTTAGCAGCTGAATAAAAGATGGATTAGAGTGAGGAGAGACTTGAGTTAGGTAAACCATTTAGAAGGCTAAAGATAATAGGCTAGGCAAGAAGTGATGAGGGTTTGTACAAGAGTAGAAGCTATATGAGTGAAGAAGAAAAGGATATGTGGA